ATTTATCACTAGTTTCATATCCGACAACTTTTTTTTCATCCCTGTTTAATAACAAAAGCTTTCTTTGAAGTTCTGTATTTTCATTATCAATAATATAAAACATTATCGCGGAGTTGACTTTCTTTGTGCTTCTAGTGGTATCGCAGATTGCCACTTAAAGGAGCGGTCTCGGGTCTATTTTAGCGAATACAACTTTTTAATTCTATGAGAAAACTTATCCAATTTCTATGCTATAATCTGAAGCACTGTGATAATCATTCAAAGAAATGCAAACTCAGCTATGGCCTTCGTGTGGTTTGTCACAATGACAGCTATAATGGAGTCTGAATAATCAAGTATATAAGTTCTACAACCTGTACTAATTACATTTATCCATGTAAACATATATATTATCACAGATCAACCCACCTTCTCAGTTTTATTAGAAGACCAATGTGTTCTCACGTTTTAAATGGTATGAAAATGTTTTGCCCAGTGGTCAAGATAAACATTTTTCGTTGTTCCAACACAAAAATATAGTTATTGCAACTGGTTAATGGAAATGAAGTTATTTTTCTTACTGAATTCCAGATGAAAACCCAGTAATCTGTAGGAGTGTTGTGCAAGAGACAGGATATGATTTTTAGGAAAATTTGATACCACTTTTCATATGAAGAGTTTTTCAGTCCATCAGAATAATTATATCTCAGCCAACACTGGGATCAAACCTGTGACCTCCTGGCTTTTATTGAAGAAATAGAGAACACCAGAAAACTCTTGATAAAAACTCATGAGGTGAGAACATGACCTAAACATCGACCTTACACATCCAATCTAATATTTAAAATGAATTGAACAAAAAGCAGTTAATTTTGGGACAAACATGGTATGTTTTATGGCAGGAGGAGGAAACTAGTGAACCCAGAGAATATCCATGGGGTTACACATAAAACTTCAGTACTTGTGGGATAAAAATCAAGAATCTTGCATTGATGATTTTGCTAGTGGTTTACAGAACTGAAACACTGCTGCCTTCTTATTTAAGAATCAGAAACTCAAATATTGCTTCTCCTATCTGCATAATTAAAGCTGGGAATTATTTTTTCTTATAGCTCTCATTGTCTTGTTTTAAACCAACATCGTGTTGTAACAGTTCCCTAAAGATTTGTATTTCTAGTTATTCTTAACCCTTTAGCACTTGGAACACCCAAAACCACTGACTCCCCCTCCCCAAGAACTAGTATCAGAGATACTAGTATCAGGGAGCCATTTATATGACTACAGTAGTTTGAGGCAGTCCAGGGAGAAAGGCAATATTTTTGAAACGGTTATGGGCTATACTCATACAGAAACATCATCACTGTTCTCTCACTTTTATCCAGGAAACCGGGTAGTCAATATTTACATGGGCCAAGTGCTAAAGGGTTAACAGAATTATAATATTTTATCTTTTTAAACAATTTTATTAGAAGACAAAAAGTGGTGTATAAACAATGCATTAAAATTTATAATTCAGTAAATACTAAAGATGAGATAAAAATATCAACATAAAAACTTGTGATATATTGAAAGTTTTTTGTTTCTAAGTAAATTTGTATGACTAGAGTGTATGTGTGTTGTGGGGTTACACTAATTAAATTTTTTCTGAATATATAAAAACTGAGTCTATAAATAGTAATCACAGACAGGGAAAGAGAAGCTACTGTCATGTCAAACTCATTTTCTGTTAAGAGGATAGCTGTTAACAGGGTACTCCTTCGAATGATAGAGGGTTCAAACTTTCGTCACAATGTGCAACAAGATTGGGATGTTACTATTTCAAAAGGTACCATCTAATTCTGAAGTCTAGATGTGACAACTTCAAAAAAAAGATATCTATATTGTATAGCATAGAGAAGATGAGACCGCAGTACTCCTTACAGCAGGGGTGGCCAACCTATGGTACAGGTGGCATATTAGACCATTCCAAGTTGCACATTGCACCTCATAATAATAATGATCTGATATAAAAAAAATAAATATGACTACTGCAATATCAAAAGACTGGGACATCAAAACAGAATCAAAACCTCTCATTAAAGGTACATGTACATTAATTAAGAGCTAAATGTGTCTATTGCAAGTCTTTCTATAGGCTTCAAATGTTATAGAAATGATTAATTAGACCTTTATTTACATAACAACCCAAAATCAACTCTGTAGACCCTGGATGGCTTGGATTTAAACAGACGACCATTTAATAATTAAATCATTAAATGGCTGACCAAGCTAACATTTACCGTTAATCACTGACTTCACTCCTGGAGACTGCCGATAAAAAGACTGATAATCGAGGGTACCGTATGCATTAATGTTACTTGATAATCAAGAATATATGGGTGGAATTATCGTCTGTCAATCAAACAATCCGCAATTCTTGGAGACAGTTGATGCCTATTGCTAGTCTTAACTTCCAACAGTGATAACTTCGTTCAGAATAAAGTAATTTTACTGAAATATTCAATATTTTCTCTTTTTTTAATCATCTATTTTTGAACTGTTATATCAAGAATGGCCAACTCTTTATAAAAGTCTTAACTAATGCATCTTTAAGGTAAATAAAGTTTTAATCCTGGTTAACATTTCTTAATTTAATCTTTTGAAGTTATATGACACATCTGAGGTCGTAGGGATAAGGAACATTAAGGTTGGCTACCCCTGTCATACAGTATAGTCATGATGGGGCATAGTATCAAATTTAAAGGCACACTCGTATTTTGTGGTGAACAAAATGGTCTTAGCTTCTCTTTCCCAATGCTTTATCTGATTGACTAATGATTGTACCGTATATAATTGTGTGTAATTGCATAAAGACATCATCAGTTGTAGTGAAAACATTAATATATCGGTAGCATACAAATTACTACATTAGATATAATATCATATATTCCACAATAAACCATCAAATATAAAGATAAAAGCTGAGGATTAAATGTAATACATGCTATTATTATATCATATGCCTGTTTCTCACATCAGTTTTCCCCAGGTCCCATGGTGGTATTCAAATCAGGGCTTTTGCTTCAAAATTTTGCCAATCGGTCAATTGACTTATTTATCTCAGATTAGCACTACATTATCTATAGAGATCAAGGCAATTTTTGAAAACACTTTGAAGTGTTTTTACCCCCCCCCCCCCCACTAACTTTTAATGTTATGGCATGTAAATTGGCTCACAGGTAAGTTCTCTGAATCAACCAATGAGATCTGACCCATCTCAACCTATCAGATTGGACCAAATGAAAAACTGCAGCCAATCAGATCTGACCAAATCAAACTCAACCAATCAGATCTGACCAAATCAAACTCTCAACCAATCAGATCTGAACCTATTAAACTGATGTGATATCAGGTAAACATGTTAGTAATCGATTATAAATTTGAGCCTGGTACTTAGAAAAATCGACTTTGGCAATTAATATTTGTCCAGTTGATATCCTACCCAAGTTTTATTATAAATCAGGGGAAAGAGGGTTTAATATCCAATCAACACTAACTTGTCCACTTGGAGACTAGTATGTAGTTTATTTTTTTTAAATTTAATAATTTGTTCTCTGGGGTCTTTAGAATTGCAAAAAAAAAATAACCCTTAGTCCACATGCTAAGGCAGGTGATCTGGCCCCTTGTCACTTACAAACCTGGGATAAAATCCATTACTTGCATAGATGACAGACCGGACCCAAAGTGAAATTGGTACTTTTGCTATAGTGTTACGATTTTTCTACGAACCAAAGCCGAGTATATTCTACCATATATTGTATCTACAATAAGAGTTAGTATAGCATGCTTAATACACATGAAGGAAATATTCATGTCATTTTAAATCCATCTATTTCTATGGTAAAAGGACAGATGTTTTATAATAAATACAAAGAATGTGGTAATAATAACAGTGAACACATATGCTTTATTAGAAATTATATTTTTAATCACTATCTAATTTCCGTAACATATACAATAAACTTGTCGTCATAGAACATATTTTAGAATATTTTTAAAAAGACACCTATAAATGGAAGTAAACCGAACACAAGAGAGGTATGTATTAAAATTTAGCTAAACGCAATTTTCGATATATTGTTGGTAGCTTGTTTGTCAAATTTGTTTGAAATACATATTTAATTCTGTATCACTAAAATTATGTTAAGTAATTTGCTTGGTGTAAAGTATAATAACCCATTTAAAAATGATGAATCTGTACGAAAAATATGTGAGGGTGATATTGGATGATTTTGTTTTTAAAAGTTTCATGGCTATGTTAACCTCTTGTGTAGTGGTAAACGAAAATTTCATTCATGCAATCAGGAGAAGAAGGAACTTCTTCACTACTATATCAGATGAACCTTTGTTGAATGCATGACTAAATCATTACTGGATAAAGACAAAGTATCAAATAACCCTTTTCTATTATTCATTAATACTGTTAAATATACAATTATTGTTTTTTATTTAAAAATTACAAATGACTCATGGATGCTTTAATTTCATACTTTTCAGCACTTCCCTTTCACCATGCACATTAATTTAATTGTCTATAATCATGAACTCACATTCAAGCTACATAAACTCATTATTTACTGTTAAATTAATTGACACAATAATTCATGTTTTATCCAGAGCAAAAACAGTGTCTTTTTATTAATGACACAATAATTCATGTTATATCCAGAGTGAAATCAGTGTCTTTTATCAATGACACAATAATTAATGTTTTTATCCAGAGCGAAATCAGTGTATTTTATCAATGGCACAAAAATTAATAGTTTTAATACAAAAATCAAACAATGCAACAAGATCTGGAGAAGGCTGAAATTTGTTTTCAATAGTATTACAAAATAAATCAAGATTTCTATCTAGGAGAGAGGAGAATTAGTATACATAGGATAATATAACAAAACTATGATAATTGACACACAGGTCATAGGTTAGTGTCAAAAGGTTAAAGGTTACTGTCTACTGATTAGCCATTCCACCAGTTTTACCTTTCTTGCATTTCTTTAGAACGGTTTTCTTTCCTTCACACACATTTGGATCACCTTTCTTCAGTGTGAGAACTCGTTTTCTCATGTTTGTTGTCATATCACAGTCACTCCATTCACCTTTTTCATATTTACATGCTAAAATAAAAATTTAAAAAGATAATGAATGAATTTAATCAAGGGCTGTGATAGTTGTGTGGTTATGGATCTGTCCTCACAATGTCCTGGGTTAAAAACAAAGTATTGAGTTCAGAAGACTGTGCACCAGGGATGCTATATAGCCTGTATATTCCGGACATGGTCTACACAATTTTCCAAACATCTGACCAGTAATATCAAGATATGGTGAATAATAGTCAAAATTCCAAAATATATTGACTGTACCAAGTGTGTAACTACTACCCATCTCGATTATCGTTGATAATAGACAGTATTGATTTGGTAATTATGTGATCAATCCTTTTATGGTGTTAAACACCTACCTTAATTGATTAACTACTTAATCTGCCTTGATTGACTTACTTAATCTACGTGATTTCCTTAACATTTTAATCCTGAAAACAGTTTCTGGTTTCTCCTTTGTTAGACATTTTAATCCCAGTGATATCGATCGATGACTATGACATTAAAAGTAGTCAAAGTTAATAAACTTGTAAGCTAACCTAACCTTTAACAGTCATTTTGATAATGCGGTAAATATACAAGTTCCATAATTATTCACAACACAATAATTTTTATCTGCAACCATTTCCCTTCATGTTCCCACCTGGCACCCCTATTTGCCATCAAGCAATATTTTAATCATTTTCCATTCACTGGACATCAAAATATTCTGTTATTAGCTAATACACACCAGTTTAAATTTTCTCCGTTTAACAAACTACTTTGTGGGTAAAATGGCACTTGCTCACAAGCTCGCATTGCTTTCTACATAAGCTAAGTGAAATGATCCATTTTGATGGGAAAAACGAGGCATGTGGATAAATAACAATATGGCTACCATGCCTGCCCTGCATACGGTTGTCAATGAAACACCAATGGAATTTTAAAATAACGTTTTATAAAGAAGACAAATGATGTTTCAATGTCCTGAACTATTCTTGTCATAGATATTTTGCTTTCATTTTTTGCCAAATAAATGAAGACATATAATTTTGGAGTTATATTACTGGCGTGAATTTGAGGCAGCTATGGTTCTTACATATTCTTTCTGTACGTAAGTTTATAAGAATATTACTGACATAAATTTGAATACTGTACGGGAATTAAATATGGAAAATAGAGAGGTGCACCTATTTTGATGTTTCATCACAACACAAAGTCATGCTATATGTTATATAACATAAAAAATACTTTTAGTTGAAAGTCTATTAAATTGATCCTATTTCCTGAAGCTGACAAAGTGACTTCTGGTGACCTAATTCTGGCCTGTATTAAGTCCAACTAAAAATGTCCCACGAGCAAAATATTTAATTAGCATCCCTGTTGTGCACTGACAATCCAGAGAGAAAGGGAGAAATGAGATTTAAGTTCTACTCAAAACAAGCATTTCGGTCCAACGTAATATCGCATAATTTTATGTTAATAACATGCTGAAGTGTTGGTGTCTATATATAGCAGTGAGAGGAAACCTAGAAGGCTGGCAAATAGGCAACCCTACTTCTTATCATGTACAAGCATTGGATCAAAACCATGCCACTTGACTCAATGACCGGTCATATTTTTATTTTGAAATATAAATTTGACTAAAACTTACGTTTCTTTTGTTTATTTTTTCTTTTTTTAGCAGTTTCATCTTTACAGGGCTTTGTTTTAGTCATGGTTGGTTTACAATCTGTACCCCCTTTTTTCAATACTTTAGTTTTAGTTCTCATGTTTGTGGCAGGATCACATTCGGACCAGGGGCCGTTATTTCTATATCTACACACACCTAGAAAAATAATAATCATTAAAAAAAGGGGAATATGAGGTTTAACATCCACTTGACAATAACCAGGTCATTTTGCTATTAACACATGTTACAAATTTTATTTTAATAATTCGCAAGCAGAAATGAAATGGGGTTTATCGTCCTACAGTTCTGCTCTGACTGGGCTAATGAAGACGGGAATTTGCTAGCAAGTGCAGATATTTCACAGTATGAGGTAATCAGGAGGACATTGCGAAAACCCACGAGGATGCGTGACAAGCATGAGATCAAAACCACAACAATTGACTCAATGATAGTTCTTATGATCTTAAGTGTGTATGTTAGATCACTCCCACCCACTCCACCTCAAAAAAAAGCATCCTTAATGTTGAGTAATAGTCCAAAGTCTCAACTCAAAACATGGTTCAATTTTATTCCAATATTCACTTGCGCATAAGGGTCTTTAGGCGTAGGAGAAAACCGGAGGACCAGGAGAAAACCCATGAGGTTGGACAGGCGACCTTACTCCTTGTCATGTACAACCAGGGAATCAAAACCACTCCAATTGACTATTAAAATGACAGACCTTATGATACACTGCCCACACGCTCATTTGGCACCCCCATCCCCCACCCGAGACAGTTGTACTAGACTAAGATAAAGGTTTCTACTAAAATACATCTGGGAGGGTTCATTTAATGGTTCTGATTGTGTAGTGGAAGAAAACCACAGGTGTTTAGACAGGCAACCTTAGTATTTCTCACATACAAGCTGATGATCAAATCCACAGCACTCTGCAACAGTTTTTATGATGAATTACATGTACTTACCAGTATTACAAGGTTTTGTTACAACCATGGTGGTTTCACATACTTCTGCACCCTTCTTTAATGTGAATGTTTTATTGAATGTATTAGTAACTGGATCACAGGCAGTTACCTTGGGATTTTTATTATATTTACATCCTATAATATTAAACAAAAAAAAAACATGGCGTGAAACTTATATAATATAACTGAAAGTGAAATAAAATGGGGTTTAACATGTTACTTTTGTGCACCAACCAGGCTAATAAAGATGGGCATACATCATGGCTATAAGGCCTTCTCTTATTTACAAAGGTTATTTTTACATAAACACCAGCATGTACACAGAACACTATTCCTTGCCAGGCATTCTGTCAATCTCGGCTGCCAGGGATAGGTTTACCCTTTGTTTATCTCTAGGAAAACTTGTCACCCATTTTGAATGTTACGTGATGTATCCTTCCGCCGGTCGCTTCACAAAGATCCAAGATGGCGGCCCAAACTCACGTATTTAGCTGAATCACTCACATTGTGCACTAAAAATAGTTCCCGATAAATCATCAAATCGACTGTTTTCAAATGAAGTTATGATGTCAAGATGTGGATAATGTTCTAAAGGTCATTAATATTAACTCATGCAACAAGATGATGCCTGATTGTCGAGAAATTGGCAGCATTTCATTCTTACAAATCCTGCCAATAAGGAGCCACGCTTAGGAAGCAAATTAAGACTGATTAATGGCCGGTGAGTTTTCCCAGAGATAAACGAAGGGTAAACTTATCTCTTGGAGCCGAGATTGGCATTCTGTCTGACAAGGCGAAACCATGCCAGAAATTCTCAAGGATTGTTCGCAACCAAAACCTGGAGCGACCAGAGATCTCCTGGTTAGTGATCCATAGCGAACCACTTTTGCATCAATGGTTGGACAGACTAGACAGGGATCGATAACAGACTACAACAATATTCGCCTATTCCTGCTGTAAACAGTATCACTGACTTTCACACTACAATATTAATCTGTACCAGAATTGTATGTAAAATCTTACCTAATCTTCGGTTTTGTCGTCTGGCTCCCCTCTCTTGCCGTAAGAGTATTTCATCTGATAAAACACATCCTATTAACGTTATGGCTAGAATTAAACTAATCACTTCCACTTTAATCATCTTTATATCTGTAATTATACAAATTAAACAGAACATCAATATCATTTGTAATTAAATTAACATGATGTCAATATCACTTGTAAATAAATTGACACGATTCAATATCACATGCAACTAAATTAACACGACATTGATATCACAGTAAGTAAATTAACATGATATCGATAACACACGTAAATAAATTAACATGACATCGATATCACACTTAAATAAATTAACATGACATTGATATCACACATAAATAAATTAACACTACATTGATATCACAGGCACATAAATTAACATGACATAGATATCACATGTAAACAAATTAAAATTACATAGATCTTGTTAATCATAATTTGTTTAAAATTTAAAGCCATAAAAATTTGAAAAAAAAGCCACCAAGTACTAATTGTTGTATTTTCCCTCAAAGAGATAGGAATCAAGATTTTAAACTGGTGCTCCTGAGTCGCGGTCATTTTGAAATAAACATAAATACATTGTTCTCTTATTGAAGGCAGTAATACAGATTTAAGTTGGATTATGACATTAAATGAAAACAGAATATCAATACTGGTAAGAGATTTAAGTTAGATTATGACTGAAAGTCTCGCATCAGGAAAAACATAATTTTCAAAAACAAAATTCCATACAAATCAAATTACAACAATTCACCTTTTTTGAGCAACAGTCACATATGTAACAACTCAAGGGACATAATTAATTTTTTTTTTGTCTATTTTAATGATCAACTGATATACATACAGAAAGAGTGAAAATAACTTTTTTTTATTTACATTGTCATTAGATCAGATTGAACAATTTAAAGTGGGTTTGTTTGCATTCTGAAGAATATTCATTTTTACTGAAAGTTATTATTTAAAGCTCCTGATCTTTACTTTTATTTTTCGGATTTCTAATTTTTCATAGCTCTATCCACGCTGTGTACTCACATTAATTATTTAACATTTAGTCAAGAAAACAGAAGCAAAATATCAATGGTAGATAATCTCCCGGATCAGATACCCAGGGATTAAAAAAGGCTCATCAAAAGTTTTTACCTAACACTAACAGGTTTTATATAGGATGATGATTGTTGCGACATCAATTTTAATTCATCATACCAGATACTGAACAGAACTAAATCAATCTTGAACCGATATTCATCTTATAATTCAACTTTAACAATATTTTAGTTCGCAAGGGCTTTAAAATCCCTCAAATAACGGTAGGTGGCTTTTTAAACTACCTGTCACAGATATATTATTGGTCTGTAAAACTTGTCTTTGCGATTTTATCTCTTAACAAAAGATTTGTCTACTTATAGTCACAGACAACTATCAGAAACTCTGTTTAAATGTTTGGTTGGAAATGAGTGCATAACAAAATGAATCAATGATTTGGACTAGTATATTTCTCGTGACAAGAATTAATGGTATAGAATATTTCTCATGACAAGAATTAAGAATATTAAGTCGGAAAATAACATTGTTTTTTATAATCAACTATAAATCTAAAGCCACTGTAGGGCCTGACAAGGAACAGTGTCTAATCATTCAGATGAAATGAGAAAACTAAGGTCCCATGTACACCTTGGTGTTCACCAAAAACCACCCTTGACAGTTGGAATTCGAAATAAGAGTAGGTCGTAGTGCTGCTTTCTGGTTTTCCTCATAGTACACTACATGCCCGTCTTTATTAATCTGGTTGATGCAATAAAGTAGGATGAACAACACCATTTTATGTCATTTACATTAAAGATGTCCTCCCACGTACAAACTGTGATTTGATGATATATTAGGACTGAAAATATATTTATACTAAAATTGCTTCAAACACCTCTCAAAACATTTTAATCTCAAGAAAACTTTCCCAGGTCGTAAAAGGCTATTTTAAGAAGCCTTGTTTTTCATTTGACTTGAATGTGAGAGAATCCATTTCAAGCTTGTATTTGTCGGTACCTGCCCATTAACAGTAAATATCACAGCGTAAGAAAATTGCCAAATGGAAGTCTCTCAATCTCTCAATGTTCTTACAACATTGCATTAACCCATATGATGCACTCCTTATGTCACTAAAGCAGACAATAAGTGGACAGATTATCAATTAGTGATCCCCTCTCATTTTTGTCCGGTGGGTGTTCCATGGGTGTTTTTAAGGGAATCCAGTATTTTTCTAGTAAGATTTATTGTCTCTACTTTCGATAAATATGTACAGTAAATCAACATTCTTTTATTGGAAATAACTAACCTATAAATATTTTCGTTGGAATGTACCTTTAAATCTTTATTAAATAAGCATTCCATTTAATGATGATTATACCCTTGCAAGAATTCTATACACCAGTATATATGTATATATATATAAAACTCCATCAAAAGACAACAGAGAAATAATCAATGACTGTAAATCTTCCTTTAATCAAATTAATTTCTAAAGAAAAGGTCTTTAGAAATCAGGATGCTTTAAGAACTACAGAATGTAGTTAATCTCACTAAATCATAGGTTGAAAGAATAAAAGATTTCTAACTTCCTACATTCTGGCTTTTCACAGAAAGCTTCATCACTTTATTTAGATAACGACATTGGCGCCCAAAATCTCTGGAAGTCTTTAAATCATCTCCCTGTTTAATTAAAGATACTGTTTTCTTTACGAACTTTAAATATTTTGGGGTTAAAGTAAGTTGCAGTCTTTAAATTTTGAAGTCTTTAAATCATATCCAGTTACAAAATATTTATTGATCCAAATAAGAAAAATATTTAAAATGCAAAATTCATAAATCTCTACTCTTGCACTTAAGTTTCCTGGAGGTCTATAAATCAAATATAGATTGATTAAAGTTTTATCTAGAAGAAAGAAAAGATCTTTCTTGTGGTCCATGATAATAAATAAACTTTAGAAGAAGTTGATAATCTCCTTGCGATATTTATAAAAGTGTCACAAGTATTAGTGGGCTTATTCCAATTTCAGAAATCTACAACTTTATCCAGAAGTAATTAAAATAAATCCTTTGGATCAATACAAGAAATTAGCCCTAAAGCCAGATTCCCCCTTATATCAATCTAATGAAATAAATGAAATGGAATTTAATGTCCTACTTTTCTGCACCAAACGGATAATAAAGACATGCTAATGCCATGTAGTGTGCTATGAGGATATTTTGATAAGACAATAGTGCTACCGTCTCCTCTTAAAATTTCCAACTAAAGGGGATCTTTAATGTGCATTCATTTGTATACATAAGACCCTGGTTTTTCTGCACCAACCGGTGTAACGAAAATGGGTGAACACGCCATGATGCAGTGTACTATGTGGGAAATTTTCCAACTTAAAGATCTCTCACATGCATCAACTGGATCTCAAGATTTTCCCATGTGGTTTCTCTTTGTTAGTGATGCAGGACAGAGGCTTGGAAAGAAAAAGCCTCCAGCGCATTAAAGATCCTTTGACAGCTGGAAATCCAAGATAATAGTAAGGTGTGGTAGTGGTATCAAAACACACCGCATGGCATATATGCCTATTCTCATCAGTTCATTTTTTCCAACAGCCACGCACGATCAAGACCTTATTTAAAACAAGATTCTGAGAGGGGTTATATAATTTTAATAAGTCAGTTGAGAGCTGAGTCTGGACATAATGTTGATTACAATGTTTTACAACACTGATTGTCATGATAAATAAGTAGAATTTAAGACAGAAATTACATGACTGTATAGTGTAAATACCGTTTTGTCCCATTGTCTATACCAGTTACCTCTATATGCCTGTAATGGTATATATATGATATAAATAATGGTATTTATCGTAGTAAGTTGTCTAGACACAGTTATAGCCAATGAATATTAAATGTATTTCTAAAAGCATACCTTTTCAGACTTTAGCAAATTGACATTAATATTTGATTTTGATTGCCTGGAGGACAAGAACACGGTAATAATATTAGGAAACTGTTTATATTGAACAGACTAAGAACATTTATGTTATTTGTATTGATGGAATTTATTCAGTGGGTAAAAACAAAGATTCTTATCTAAATGAAGAACTTTACAATAGCACTTTGTCCAGTGGCATGCAGGCTGAGGGGGCGACGGCACCAAGCATCCATTTTAAGCGATGCATCTGATTGGGGTATCCATCTTAATGTGGCAGATTTATATTGTCTTGGTGGCATACAATCAAGGATTTGGCCCCAAGCATCTCTAAAGCTCTGAAAGCTTTGTCTGTTAATGTTTACACTCGGAACCCTTTATAATTAGATTATACTTTAAATTATCAATTCTTCTCTCTCTACTATTAGCTTCACTATTCCCAGAATACAGATTAAATATAGAATTTAAGACCATACACAATCCAAAGTATAAATTATGAATGTACTATATACCAACCAGGAAACAACCATGATGTCACTACCGCCATCTTGGAATTGTGATGTTCTATTCTATCAAACAATGAACTGCATCTATTGATGAGCAATTGTCCAAAGAACAAGCATCATATCGATTGTACTCAAATTACCAGAGCTTTAGTCACTTTTTGAAGAAGATTGACCCAAGATGAAGATCAAAAAGATTACCAAGTGTATAAAACTAGTTCCAGGTTTATAAAATAATATAAGCCTGGAGTTTGCATGCTGTTAAAACTAATTAATTCTATTTTGTGCCGACTATTCTAACAAACTTCACTTGAATCCCTAGGGTGATAAATAATTACCAGCTGCATTTAAAAGAGGTAAGAAAACTTTTGGATTTTTACTGGACCTGACAATGTGATTGTATATTGATAGCCATATCCATTATAGCAGTAAATTGTGTGTCAAATCTGAGGTCATGTGATGGTGATCTGGCAGTCATATATAACAAAACAAATCATAAACTATCAAATATAGATGATAAATTTGGCAATAATTATAAGATATATATATATATATATAGGCAATATAAACTCAATAATCTGTCTCATATATATATATCAGTCATAGGCAATATAAACTCAATAATCTGTCTCATAAAAAATCTCATATTTATA